CTCCCCTCCCCTTCCTCCTCCACCCCTCCTCCTCCTTTCTCTCTGCTCCCCCTACCTTTTCTGGCTGCCAAGACATGAGTAGTCTTCCTCTGGCAGACTCTTCCACAATGCTTCTTCTGCCTTAGAGAAGCTTGAGTTCTCTAAATGAACAAACTCAAAAAAATGTATGTGTGATTCTACAAAGGGTGCATAAGGTAGGCTTATGGGTGCAGAATTGAGGTGGCAGTCTGCTGGATCAGAACTAGAAAGAAAGGTTCATCTGCACACAGGAGAGCTAGAAGTTCCAGTAGAGGTCAAATTTTGCAAACCTGGAAACCCACAGCAGAGTCACCAGTCCCAGCCTATCTTGTAAAGCAGAAATGTCTACTCTGGAACAATAAAGTGTTTACCTTAAAGCCTGAAGAAACTGTAGACCAAAGTCCAAGAGTAATAGCAAAAATGGGACCAGCTCCTAAGAAACAGAAGACTTCCTTTTTTTTTCTGCCCTTTTAATTCCACCAAGGCATCACTCACATTGGGATTGATCTTCCCTCTGAATTTGTAGTCTACATATCAATCATTCACAGACTCACCCAGAGCGTTACTAAACTGCTAGTGGTTCTTACACAAGTCAACTTGACATATCAAAATGAGGTATCATAACTGCTAACTAGAGACTGGAACTGAGAGCCAAAATAATTCTCTCCACCTTTAAATTGTGACTGTCAGGTTCTGCAGCTCAGTGATGAGGAAAGTGATAAAGTTAGTTTTTATTTTTTTAGGTATCGGGGATGAAAATCAAGGCCCTACACTTGTGAGGCAGGTGCAGTGCCACTGAGATAAATCCCTGGCTCATAAAGACAGATTGTGGTATGAGAGAACAAAGACTTTGCTGTGATATTTGATTACGTAGTTTGGAGGCCTTTGGAGTAAGGTTGTGGCAGGGGTTTGGAAAGGGTTGGAGATAACAGAGAAGCTCTGGAATGCCATAATCTGAATCTAGTTGGAACTCAGGACAAAAAGACAGAGAGTAAAGGCCAGGTTCACAAGGTTTGCAGTTGGGAACAAGGCTTTCATTGGTAGTTGGGGTAGAGACCAGATGTGTTATACTCTGGAAGAGAATTTGTCTACATATTACTTATGTTCTGAGAGTTTGCTGGAGACTAAGAGAGGTAGAATGATTAATCTAGTGGAGGAAATGTCAAGATAGACCAATATTTAGTTTGTGGCAGGGTTACTGTTTATAACTTTTAATCAGATCTACATTGGGGCAAGACTACTTTGGAGTTTCACTTTAAAGAAAGTGCCTGCAAAGTTTGCACCAGAAAGTTTCACATTATCTATTTGTCATTCTTATTTTGTAGATTTGTATTGGTTACATGTACAGACACTATTGAGTCAAACCTCCAAGCTTTAAATTCTGACACTACTACATTATAACTTTAATAAGACTTTAATAGCTTGAAGACTTTGGCAAGTATTTTAAATGTACAAGTCCTTCAACTTCTTCATCTTACAATAAGAAAATAAATGTAATACATACATAGTAATCACTTTACAAATACTACCTATTATTGATGTTTCAATTTAGCCTTTTATGTAATTAGATTCCATAAGCTCAATTTCATTAGGTTCAACAAAAATTTGGAATGGGTCCTTGCCTTCCTTCATCTACATATTGCTATATTGCCTAGTCTTAGAAGAAACTTTTCAAGTAAATAGAAAATGTTGGGGGAAATAGAGATCATTTACATAAGAACAAATAATGTCTGTTTAGATTGTATTGTATCAGGGAGTCATCACCATCACTCAAATTTTGACAGAGACTCAAAAGTGAGTATATGAAATTATGGAATAAGGTGGGATCTACAAGTCTTTCCTGTTTATAGGTTTGGCATGTGGAAAAATCAAGGCAGGCTACATAGAAGGGCAGCATTCTATGTACTTTGTTAGGGGAACATATCAGTCTCTCTTTTATTAGTTTTAAGTAACAAGATTAGGAAATCTGTCTTTTATTAATCAAGGCCTTATCATTTGAGGCAAATTGCTGTCAAGATCTTTATTTGGTGTTTATAAGAGGTACTGGTCCAACATTGTAGAAATCTGATTATAGATAAAAGTCTAGTTTCTTGGGTCAGTTTTCTGAACTGGTTGCTGAAGGTTTTATGTCACAGTTATATGTGGTTTTGCTATATATGGTTTGTATAGTATTTTCCCATATAATCAGATCACCTATACATATTGTATTTCTAAAATTCTCAAACCTGCAGAGTATAAAGCAAAGTCATTTTCAGAAGCACTTTTATTTTAATAAGAAGAAATTAAATTATTTTAATTAAGTAATATTAGAATCTACTTTTACTAAATTGAATATTTAGTTAATGGTTTCATAATGATATTTTTTCATGAATAGCCCCAATTTTGGCTTTCTGACTTCAAGTTTTAGATGTAGGAATTAAGAAACAGTGGTAAATCATACTGATATTAATATGTGGATATGGAGAAATTTATGAATGAGAATGCACCAAACCTGAAATATATTGAAAAGAACTACATATATCTCCTTAAAATTTTTATAATCAAACTTAACCCTCAGTGAGATAATGTTAGGATGTGTAGACTTTAGGAGGTAATTATGAAGCCATGCTGGATGGGATTAGTTCTTCTTTAAAAGAGACACAGAGAGCTGAGGAGAAAACTCTCTGAGATTCTCTTTGTAAAAGTAAATGATGGTGGTCTAAGAACAAGGGGGGCCCTCACTAGACACATTCTCCAGGCTCCTTTAAATTCAACTTCCCAGCATTTAGCCCTTAAAAACAGATCATACATTTTTAGTATTATTTTATTACTAAATATTTGCAGTACATAACGATTGCATTCATTGCGGGGAATTGGCAGATATACTTAATATAGCTTAATTCCTTTTATGCCCCATCCCGTCCCCTCCCTCCGGTTCTCTCCATTTCTTAGTCTCTTCCATTTACAAAAGATCGATTTTATCTACATTCACTCTACAATATTCTGCAGCCCAGTCAGACAAAAAATACTTATAGTGAAACATTAATCTATGCAATGAACTAGTGATTTTTTGTAAATTTTTAAGAGACTCCATCAATACACTTGACTAATTCTTGAGACAAGGCTTTAAGTGTTTTCTCCTCATATTGGAAGTGAAATAAACTCTGAATAGAAATGATCATTTTAAAAATAGTATATTGTTATTGTAAAAGTATATGAAGAAAATATTTCAGAAAAGATTTTTCAAAGCCTATAATCCCTTGTATCATTAGAAATACAAAGCAACATGCAAAAAATTCTTAATTTCACAGATAACTTACTAAATCATTCATTTAAATTTGTTCATTTTATCAAAGAGCCTATTGAATAGTGAGTGAATAGTTTCCATTAACATGGAAAGCTACAATAGTAACAAGAAAACATGCAATTTAGTAATAAAGCATAACAAACATCATCCCCAACAATGAACGATTTTCATTGCAGCATTGGAGATTTTTCTAAAAAGAAAAAAAATAACATTATTATCTAAATTATCCTGAAACAAATACAATAATACAAGAGAAGAAAACGTTTTTTTTTTTGGTACCAGGGATCAAACTCAGGTCCTTGTGCTTGCGAGGCAGGCCACTGAACCGCTGAGCTAAATCCCTGGCCCGAGAAGAAAATTCTTAAATGGGCTGAATGCTTTGAGTGAGATTAGGTTTTAAAAAGGAATGCAACGTGTTGAAAGTATTTTGACCATTTGTTTGTGGAAATGATTACTACAAAATAGTAAATGAGCTAAAAGAAGTTCTTCCTAGTGCTTACATTGAACCATTTAGTAGCATGTTAAAGCATGGTTTGAATCATTTATGCATGGTGATTGTCATAATGTGATGTGTCATTTATGATATTATCCACCTTTTTTCATTAGGTTTCCAAGCTCAATTTCAGGAAATACATCCAAGTTTAAAGTTCTAGGCATCTACTCTGTTTCTAAGATTTAAACCAATATCCATAACCCCACAGTTGTAATTGAATCAAGAGCCACTGGATTTAAACTAGACTTACAAATCTACATTTAGAGGTCCTAATTTTAAGTGAACTGTTGTATATGAGACACAGTTATGGGGGTTATTCAACTCCTTCTTTTATTTCACATTTTTGCTTTATTTAACCTGGAAAAGAAAAACATATGTAAATGTCTCTATAAAAGTCAAAGATTTTTTAAAAATATAATTTGCCAGACATAAAATGTGAAGTTATAACTATCATACTGACATAAAAAATAAGTTCATTCAATTAATCAGGCAGATAGATATTTCAACTAGGACAAGAAGAAATTATACACATAAATATAATATATTACGTGATGTTGTATATGCATATATGTTATGATATGTATCTGATATATGTGATAAATATTATAATTATGTAATATACAATTTCTTCCTATCAGCTCAAGAAAATATATGAGTTAACTATCAAAATTTTATTAAAATATTCTAGTACAGCCAACTAATTTTATAATATAACTCAAATAGTATGTAAGACTGGGATTAAGGGTCAGAAAACAATATTGTTTAGAATCTAGATAGTGCATACTTTCCACCGGCCCCCCTTTTTTTTTTCTGAATTCTTACATCATTCACACTGAAATAACAGTTTGTGAATTTTCTTTACCTTATTGAGTTGCACTGGTTGTTCACTTCAAAGGACATTTTATATCTCATGTTCTGACTGTTGAAATGGTTGACTAAAATATCTATAAATCAATTCTGACTAGGTCACAGTGTATAACACATTAAAATTCTGATCTACGATGAAATCAATCTAAGAAGCCAGAATACAATTTCTAAAGCAACCAGAATCAGAATTGATCAGTGATGCTGTTTTTCCTGTTTTTTTTTTTGGGGGGGTGTTCATTTCTAATTCAGTACCAAAGGGAGAAAGCCAAGTACGAAAACTGTGTTAGTCAGCTTTTCATCGCTGGGGAAAGTATCTAAGATAGATCAGCTTCCTAGAGGAGAGGCTTATTTGGGGTCACAGTTTCAGGAGTTTTAGTCTATGGTAATGTGGCAAATTTACACTGACCCTGTAGTGAGGCCAGTTTTCATGTTGGAGAATTCATGGCTGAACAGGTCTGTTCACCTCACCGGGCAGAAAAGTGGGGTAGGGGAGGTACAATCCAAATACCCACTTTAAAGGAACACTCACAGTGACCTAATTTGAGATAGAGCCTGCTTTTAGAGAATCCACCATCTCCTAGACATGCAACAGATTGGTTATCAGGCCTTTAGCTATGGACTTTGGGGGTGGGTTGAGATCAGAACCACAGCACTCCTCAAATCAGTGCTGTGGTTACCCTGCTTCCTCATGTGCC